TGTCATGGTTATTAGAAATATGGGTTTTGGCTATACAAAAAATTATTTGGGATGTTGAAACTAAGGAAGCATCATCGACAGACTTCTCAACTTGATTACCGACATTCCCTTCAGTCTGAAATATGTGAAGTTTAGGAAGATGTGAATGAAAGATTACTCCAAGCTCATCTTTAATAGGCTTGTTTCCAGCACGCCTTTCATCATATTGGTCTGTACTACCAGTCAGCTTTTTTATTTTTGTCCTGGGTGCTTCATGGTTATTTCTTTCATCTTCTTGCCATTGAAACTCAAAGTCATGAATATTTTTCTCAATTTCCTGAAGGGAAAAATCCCAATGTGATGACTTTCATGTCTTGCCAATGTCCCTGTGTGAAACACTTCTGTATTGCCTTGCCCTGTTGATGAAAACTTCTTCCTTATGCATTTGGAAGAGATATCTACAAAATATAAACTCCACGGCTCCTGGCAAGGACTAGTGCTTTTATCAAAAAAGACATTAAAGAGCTTGTTGCCTGGTCCTCTGTCCACCATGACAAAACACAGCAGGAACATGCTTGGGCTAAATCACAAAGAAGACTCTCACCAGAAACCAATTTGGCTGTACCTTGCTGTTGGATTTCTCACTTTCTAAATTCAAAATAAATAAATCTCTGTGTCTTAAGCTTCCCAGTTTAACCTTTTTTTTTTTTTTTTTTTTTTTTTTGAGACTGAGTCATGCTCTATCACCCAGACTGGAGTGTAATGGTATGAGTCTCCTGCCTAAAGAGATTCTCCTGCTGGAGACTCCCAAGTAGCTGGGACTACAGACTGGCTGAGAGAGAAAGAGAGAGAGTGAGTGTGTGTGTGTGTGTGTGTGTATGCGCAAGTAGCTGAGACTACAACCTAAGTGTGTGCGTGTGTGCGTGTGCGCACACATGCATGTGCATGGGTGTGTGTGTGTATCAGAGTTTCACTCCATTATCCAGGCTGGAGTGCAGTGGCATGATCTAGACTCATTGCAACCTTCACCTCCTGGGATCCAATAATTCTTTGTCCTCAGCCTACCAAGTAGTTGGGATTACAAGTGCATGCTACCACACCAAGCTAATTTGTGTAGTTTTAGTAGAGATGGGGTTTGACCATGTTGCCAAGGCTGGTCTCAAATGCCTGATCAGAGGTTATCTGCCCATTTTGGCCTACCAAAGCATTGGGATTACAGGTGTGAGCCAACATACCCAGTGAATTTTTTTGTATTTAGTAGAATCAAGGTTTTCGCATGTTGGCCCGACTGGAGTCAAACTCTTGACCTCAACCGATCCAACCATCTCGGCCTTCCAAAGTGCTGGGAAGAGAGGCATGAGCCACTGCGGCCAGCCATTCTAAGCTATTTCTGACATCACAGTGAAATGACTGAGATAGAGAAATGGGCATCTCATCATCAACATCATCGAAGGCTGACAAATATTATTAAACAAAGAAAGTTTAGAATCTGTACTATAAAACTTTCAACATGTGAAGACATCTAATTAACTTGTTTTTAAAACCTGGAGGCAGTCAGGCGTGGTGGCTCATACCTGTAATCCCAATACTTTGAAAGGCCCAGGTGGGTGGATTGCCTGAGGTCGGGAGTTGAAAACCAGCCTGACAACATGGAGAAAACACATCTCTACTAAAAATGCAAAATCAGCCACATGTGGTGGTGCATGCTTGCAATCCCAGCTACTTGGAAGCCTCAGTCATGAGAACTGATTGAACCTGGGAGGCGGTGATTGCAGTGAGCAGATTGTGCCACTGCACTCCAGTCTGGGAAACAAAAGGAAAATTCCATCTCAAAAAAGAAAAATTAATAATAATAAAAAAAATAAAGAACATGGAGGCAAACTATTACTTATCAAACAAGGACTGCAGTCCCACAGTATTCATGTACATGACCCAATTTATACATTCGGTAAATAAGGGACAAAACTTGATCCTGGGCCTTAAGGATCCCATGACACATTCTTAAGCACAACAGTCACCCAGGCAGTACAGAAAACGATCAGTCACAGAAAATACAAGGAGACAGGAAGAAATACATCAAGGTGGATACAAGGGCTGAGCTGTGCCATGGACAGTGATGCTGAGCCATCGCTCATGGAGAATGTGCTGAGTCATCATGCCCTGCACACACTGATTTAGGCAGCCTCCTATGATTACATCCAGTGGATGTATAAGGTCTTGACTTACTCAATGAGAGTCATGTTGGAGGGGAGGGGCTCATGTGGAAGCTGGAGTGTTCACCATAACAAAATCAACAGCTGGAAAGCAGCAGCATTTTGCATCCGGATCAATGTAGCATGTGAGGCAAGGCCAGGAAAGGAAGGGCAAGGGTGGAGGGCAGAAGTAATGGGCATGCAGGAGTCAACTGTGTGCATGGTTATCTGTGGGAATATATTCCCACCACTATATATCAAATTTTGAGCTTGGAGGGAAGTGGAACTAATTTAGCGAACAGTAAAATGTTGACCCGAGGTAAAATATACAAATTACAATATAGGCAGGGGACAAGAATGAAAGAGTCAAAAAAGCAGCAGTATGGTGACATGAGGTGAAGGCAGTTTTACATCTCTGAAATTAAATGGCCTCTGATTTCTAGTTTCAGGCCTATACTCAACAAAATCCCTATGTAGATTCCAGACTTCCATACACACATGAAAAAGTGAGTGAACTCCATGAAACAGAGTACAGCAATGCAGGATATTGTGGGGGTGAAGAGTGATCCCCTGGCTCAGCAGGTAGAGATGTGTTTGTGAAAACAGGTCCAGGCCAGTCGCGGCCTATTCCAGCCTGCAATCCCAGCACTCCAGGTGGTCAAGGCACGTAGATCATGAGGTCTGGAGTTTGAGACCAGCCTGGCCAGGATGGTCAAACCCCGTTTCTAGTACAAAAATACAAAACATTAGCCAGGTTTGGTAGCATGAGCCTCCCAGCTATTCAGGGGGTTGAAGCAGGATAATCGCTAGAACCTGAAAATCAGAGGTTTCAGTGAGCCAAGATCATGCCACTGCACTCCAGCCTGGGTGTCAGATAAGACTCCATCTCAAAAAAAAAAAAAAAAAAAGAAAGAAAGAAGTGGAGCCCAATGGAGACTGCTGACTATGCATGTGATCAGTTATATTAGTGAAGAAAAACAATAATGTGTTGACTAAAATGTTTGTCATATAAAAATCGAAGGGTAAATCTCGTTCCTTATATAAAAACAATGGTGTCTCATTTCCTGGATCCTATATTATTTGAAATCTTATCTCTAGATTTTAAAAAAAGTCTCTGGAATAAATGAGAGATGAAAAGTGGATGTGACAGACTAGCAAAGGCCAGGTCCTCATATCCTCATAAAGATATCAACTCAACCAAATGTTTCATCAAAAATATGTTCAGCCGGGCACGGTGGCTCAAGCCTGTAATCGCAGCACTTTGGGAGGCCGAGGCGGGTGGATCACGAGGTCAAGAGATCGAGACCATCCTGGTCAACATGGTGAAATCCCGTCTCTACTAAAACTACAAAAAATTAGCTGGGCATGGTGGCGCGTGCCTGTAATCCCAGCTACTCAGGAGGCCGAGGCAGGGGAATTGCCTGAACCCAGGAGGCGGAGGTTGCGGTGAGTCGAGATCACGCCATTGCACTCCAGCTTGGGTAACAAGAGCGAAACTCCGTCTCAAAAAAAAAAAATATATATATATATGTTCATAGGTTGGGTGTGGTGGCTGAGGCCTGTAATCCCAATATATTCAGAGGCAGAGGTGGATGGATCACCTGAGGTCAAGAAGTTGAGACTAGCCTGGCCAACACAATGAAACCCTGTCTCTACTAAAAATACATACATTAGCAGTGTGTCCGGACGCGGTGGCTCATGCCTGTAATCCCAGCACCTTGGGAGGCTGAGGTGGGCAGATCACGAGGTCAAGAGATCAAGACCATCCTGGCCAACATGGTGAAACCCCATCTCTACTAAAAATACAAAAATTGGCTGGGCGTGGTGGCAAGCACCTGAAGTCCCAGCTACTCGGGAGGCTGAGGTAAGAGAACTTCTTGAACCTGGGAGGCGGAGGTTGCAGTGAGCCAAGATTACGCCACTGCACTCCAGCCTGGCACCTGAGGACAGAGTGAGACTCCGTCTCAAAAAAAATAAAATAAAATAAAATAAGTAGCTGTGTGTGGTATTACATGCCTATAATCCTAGCTACTTAGGAGGGTGAGGCAGGAGGATCACTTCAACCAGGGAGGCAGAGGCTGCAGTGGGCTGATATCACACGATCACACGACTGTACTCCAGCCTGGTCAAGAAGAGCAAAACTACATCTCAAAAAAAAAAAAAAAAAAAAAAAAAGAGCATATATAGGGCAAAATGACAACACAGAATTAAAAAACAGAAAAACCCAAGATAGACAAGGGCAGATTCCTCATGTCTAGAGGGACATTTTCCTCACCCACAGACTCCAGGTTCCTGTAGTTCTCCGACATCACTTCCCTGTATAAAGCCCTCTGAGCAGGGGTCAGGCATTTCCACTCCGCCAAAGAGAATTCTATAGCCACATCGCTGAAAGTCAAGCATCCCTAAAATGGAAAACACATTTCAATAAAACATTATGGAGAACTGATTTATCACCTTCACACAAAATGAGAAAGAGAAAGTAAGTATCCATTTCATCAGATTGTGTTCTAACAAACCTAGAGTAAGGTGTTTTTGAACATTTTTTCTCTATAGTTGCATTTTACTGCACTTTTTCATGAAAGATTTTAAGATCCCCTAAGTCACTGTGGAAGTCTTGATTTTATGGACAATATTGTAGGGCTGAGGACCCCACAGGGTCTTGGGGTGTCCCTTATGCTGTGCTGAGGAGCAGCATCCGAGAAATAGAGACAGGACACAGAAGTATAAGGAAAATGCAGCTGGGCTCAGGGGGCCACGCCACCTATAAGCAGAGTCAGGCAAGGCCCCAAAAATCCAGAAGCGTGTTTATTTATCATGTCTACGTTAGGGGGCAGAGCAGTGAGTGAAATCATCTTTAAGGATAGTGATAGGATCATGAGCAAAAAAACATGAGGTCCACCCCCATCAGGGCACCCAGGCTAGGAGATGGACAGTGCACAGCAAGGGGACCATTCCCATTAGGTCATGGAGGCAGGTGCTGTGTTCCGTAAGGGGTTCACTCCCATTAGGTCACCAAGGCTTGGAGGTGGTCTGTGCGCAGTGAAGAGAGTGCAGTGTGCAATATCTCTATCTATGGGCATGCTACTTCTAAGAAGATTTATGTGGTGATGCTTTAGGTCACATGGCGGTGACAGAGTTGTCAGGATTACTGCCACCAACTGGCAGCTTCCAATTAGTTCTATAGGAAGATGCTTTTGAGCAACACAGTAACAAGAGCTGATAAAGTTCACAGTCACCAAGGTCGATTACCAGTCAGAGGGAAGCCTTCCACAAGAACTGGAGCAAGGTCCTACAACTCCTTTATCAGGAGGTGTGGCTCTCTCCCCAAGCCTGCCATACAGCGGGTGTCTTTACGATACTGAACGCTGCCACCTGGGCCATGGGTCCTTGTCCTGGTATAACTGTTTTCCCTTAAATCATGCTCTGCACTGTTTCTGCTCCAGACATTCCTCCGACTATAAGCTTATTCCTTAATTCATGCTCTATACTGTGTCTACTCTAGGCATTCCTTCCATTGTGAGCTAAGATATATAGGGAAGTAACGGAGTGGTAAGATATTCTTTAGGCACTCAATCTATGTACTAACAGATGATAATACACGGAGGATTATATAAAGGGAAATAACTGAGTAGTGACATTATAAAATAAGACCTTCTTCAAGTCCTAATTCCATAAACTATTACACGATTATATAAAGGATTCTATAAACAAAAATAACTGAGTAGTAATGCTATAAACTGAGATATTTTTCAGGCCTTAATTGTGCCAGGATTCTGCTTAGCTCTCCTTCCTCATTACCTATATGGCTGTTACTCACAAATATGAAAAATATACAAAGAGGAAGAAAACACAGAGCTGGGCTCACATGTGTAATCCCAGCACTTAGGGAGGCCAAGGCGAGCAGATCATGAGATCAGGAGTTCAAGACCACTGTGGCCAACATGGTGAAACCCAGTCTCTATTAAAAACACAAAATAAATAAAATTTTTAAAAGATACAAAAATAGGCCAATGTGGTGGCACGCGCCTGTAGTCTCAGCTACTCAGGAGGCTGAGGCAGAAGTATCACTTGAGCACAGAAGGTGGAGCTTGAAGTGAGCCAAGATCACAGCACTGCACTCCAGCTTGGGTGTCAGAGCGAGACTAAAAATATATATATATATAGGAATGCTGGCCGCGTGTGGTGAGACACGCCTATCATTCTAGCTCTTTGAGAGGCCAGAGTAGAAATCACTTGAACCCAGGGGTTGAGGCTGCTGTAAACATTGAATCCTGCCAGTGTACTCCACACCTAAGCCACAGAGCGACACCTTCTATTTTTTGTTTTTGAGATGAAGTCTCACTCAGTCACCCAGGCTGGAGTGCAGTGGCACAATCTCGGCTTACTGTAACTTCCACCTCCCATGTTCAAGTGATTCTCCTGCGTCAGCCTCCTGGGTACCTGAGACTATTACAAGCGTGTGCCAGCACACCTGTGAATTTTTGTATTTTTGGTACAGATGGGGTTTCAGCATGTTGGCCTGGCTGGTCTTGAACTCCAGAGCCCAAGTGATCCACCCGCCTTCACCACCGAAAGTGCTGGGATTACAGGTGTGATCCATCACACTCAAACTAACATCCTGACTCTTAAAAAATAAAAAACAGGGCCGGGCGCGGTGGCTCAAGCCTATAATCCCAGCACTTTGGGAGGCCGAGGCGGGTGGATCACGAGGTCAAGAGATCGAGACCATCCGGGTCAGCATGGTGAAACCCCATCTCTACTAAAAATACAAAAAATTAGCTGGGCATGGTGGCGCGTGCCTGTAATCCCAGCTACTCAGGAGGCTGAGGCAGGAGAATTGCCTGAACCCAGGAGGCGGAGGTTGCGGTGAGCCGAGATCGCGCCATTGCACTCCAGCCTGGGTAACAAGAGCGAAACTCCGTCTCAAAAAAAAAAAAAAAAAAACAAAACGGTCAAAAAATAAAAAACAAAATTTGGAGTCAGAAACATGTTGATCTACCAGTGTGGATTCCAATGCATTACCAAATCAGATACAAAATATCTCCACTTACTGGTCTCCTTTTCCCGAATTTTCCAGATATCTGTGCACATTAACCTATGTGTTTCATACGTAGTTTCTCTGGTTCACAAAGAGCTGATATCCAGATGTGGCCAATGAACAATCCAGTCTGCCGATCAGCACTGACACCGGGGGGCCCAACCCCCATGTCCATCCAGGTCTGGTGTCAGCCCTTCCCATGACCATGCCCAGTGGAGCCTCTTCCCAGGTTCATGTCACTGGGTCACAGAATATGGAATCTCAGAGCAGATGACAGGAACTGAGGGAAGGCATGGGTGAGTGTGAGCCAACGTGTCAGGCAGGACGCTTCAGACTCAGAACAGACTGGCTATTACAATGCCTGGCATTTCAGAAAGGAAAGAGAGAGATGAATCCATCTAGGAGTATCACTTTACCTGTGGAAGAGCCATGCCTGGCTCCTTTTCTTTGCTCTTCTGAGCTGCTTCCTCACGTAATGTGAGCCTTTAGAAAACAATCCTGTAGGTGAAAAATATAGGAGACTTAAAGTTAGAAACAACCCACTCCATTCCTGTGACATATACACACAAAGGGGGGAGACCTCACCCTGTAGAAAGATGAGCCTCTACTGCCCACTGCACCAGAGATCACGCAGAGATAAGACAGTCCCACAGGAACACCTACAAGTGTATGTTTCACCCTGGTTGTCAGATCTCACTCCCCTCCCGGAGAAGGCTCACACACCAGGCAGCAGTGGGGAGCTGGGCTGGACTGAGCTCCCCTTCAGGGCACAGACCCAGCCCTGACCAAACCCCATCCAGAGCACAGCCCCTCCCCTCTCTGTAGATCACAGGCTCAGCTCAGCCCTCAGAACTGGAGGACACAGACCCTTGACGCTCAGTGCTGCACACAGATTACTGTCACCTGGGACACGTGGTATTCGTGTGTCACTCACCTGTGACCTGGAAGCCCCCTCCCTGCTTCAAGTCTTTTTGCCTTTGCTTCAAGTTTTCCCACCTTTCCAGACCAAACCAATGAACCTCTTCCATGTATTGACTGATGTCTCATGTCTCTAAAATGTATAAAATTAAGCTGTGCCACCACCGCATTGGGCACATGTCACCAGGACTTCCTGAGGCTGTGTCACAGGTGTGCCCTAAACCTTGATAGAAGAGTCTTTTTAAATTAAGTGAGATCTGTCTGAGGATTTTTGGGTTCACAGATGCAATGTCAAATGGGGGCTGTGGGAGATCACAAGGTTTTCCACAGAGGAGGTGATATCAGAACAAAGACCTAGGGAAGAAAGGCTGCCTGTGACTTACATCTGAGGGGCCAGAGTCCTAGGGAGAGACAGCTCAAGTGAAGGCCCTGAGACAGCAGCCACCTCAGCCCCAGGAAAAGGAAAGCGCCCGAGTGGCTGGAGCAGTGGGAGAGAGGAGGGCACAGGTAGGAGATGGGGTCAGGGAGGTCCTAGGGGCACAGATGCATAGAAACAAGGTTTTCAAACTTTTTTCTCCCACAACCCAGAAGAATTTTGGAAGTCGACTGTTATCACACCTACTTGGGAGCCGGAGGCAGGAGATCGATTCAACCTAGAGGTGGAGATTTCAGTGAGCTCAGAATGTACAACAGCACACCAGCCTGGGAGACAAGAGCAAAAGTTCATTTCAAAACAAAACAAAACAAAATGGCCAGTGGCAGAGTTCAAGTCTGTTATCCAAGCACTTTGGGAAGCCAATTTGGGTGAATCACCAGAGGTCAGGAGTTCTACTAAACAACCAAATTAGCTTCTGGTGGTATCCACCTGTAATACCAGCTATTTGAGGGATTGAGGCAAGAGACTCATTTGAACCCGGGAGGCAGAGGTTGCAGTGAGCTGACATAGCAGCACTGCACTCCATCCTGGGCAATGAGCAAAACTCAGTAAAAAAATAATAATTTAGGTAGCTATGTATCTTCTCACTCCTCTCATGTATACATGCAATTTTCTCTTCATATTATAAATTATTTCCCATATTTAAAAAATATGCTGTTATGTTCGGCTAAGTCCCCGGCAGTACAGTCACCCTCATCTGAGATGTGCAGACTGCCAGAGAATGTGTTTAGGGGTTTAGGAGTCACTTATGGACACATGAAGGTGGCGACGCCTGTGTGATGTCCCCACAGAGAGAGGAGGAGACAAGTGGACAGAGGATTGTAGTGCTCAGGGGAGAGGCCTGCAAGGGACATGGAGCTGTATAGGTGGGTGAAAGCCTTGAGATGATAAGGTTCAAGGTGATTAGAGTCTAATCCCCCGTTTTATTGCTTCTTGTGCCTTTTTTGGTGTTGCTGTTGATTTTTGGAGGACTGGAATCCATTTATAATTTGAGTTAAAACTAAGCACTAGCCAGGCAGAGGGGCTCAGGCCTATAATTCCAACACTGTTGAAGGCTGATGTGGGTGAATCACAAGGTCAAGAGGTTGAGACCATCTCAGCAAACTACTAAAAATAGAAAAAATTAGCCAGGGATTCTGGTGGGTGACTACAATCTCAGCTACTTGGGAGGCTGAGAAAGGAGAATTGTTTGAACCCGGGACTGGAGGCTGTAGTGAGCTGAGATCACACCACTGCACTCCAGCCTGTGTAACAGAGCAAGACTCTGTGAAAAAAAAGAAAAAAAGAAAAAAAGAAAGAAAAGAAAAATATAAGCACTACGTAGCCTCTCCTAGTAAAGAAAAGCCACCCACTGTATTTTGTCAGTCATTTCAGGGGTCAGTGTCACTCTGACTGTTTCTGTTGTTCTCCCTTACCTCTCTGTTACAGGTGAACTCACTGAGGCTCACTGCAGGAGACAGTTCACAAAATTATCCTGAGAAGCTCTGAGGAGGGTAAGAAGGAGGTGTGGCTGATTCCCATGTGATGGCCTGGAAGGGCCAGTAGGCTGCCTTGGTCTTCCTCTAGAAAATTCCAAGACCAGCTGTGCCTGGTGGCTCTCCCCTATAATTCCAACACTTTGGCAAGTTGAGGCAGGCAGCACACTTGAGCCCAGTAGTTTGAGACTAATCTGAGCAACATGGTGAAACCCCTTCTCTACCAAAAACACACAAAAGTAGCCAGGCTTCAAGGCACAGCTCTGTGGTCCAAGCTACTTGCGAAGCTGAAAAAAGATCACTTGAGCCAGGGAGGCAGAGGTTGCAGTGATCCCAGAGTGTGCCACTGCATTTTGGCAGAGTGATACTCTACCTCAAAAAAAAAAAAAAAAAAAAGCAAGCAAGCAAGAAACAAAGAAAGAAAAAAAGAAGAAAAAGAAAACAAAGAAAAAAATAATAATGGTCATCCTCCTCTAAAAATTCCAGGCCTGGCCACATGGTGGCTCACACCTGTAATCGCAGCCCTTTGGGAGGGCAAAGCAAGCAGAAAAGTTGAGCTTACGAGTTTGAGGCCAACCTGAGCCACATGGTGAAAGTTGGTTTCTACTAAAAATACAAAAATTAGCTGGGCATGGTGGCACGCGCCTGAAGTCCCAGCTAATCAGGAGGCTGATGTACCTGGAGTTGGAGATCAGCCTCGGGAACATGGGGAAAGCCCGTCTCTACCAAGAGCACAAAAAGCGCAGCCTGGTGGCTGATTTTCAAAGAAGAAAGCAGAAAGGAGAAAGGAGAAGTAAAAGAAGAAGAAAAGAAACACTTGGGTCCTGGGTCTGGGGGCAGGGAATCTAAGGTCAATTGACGCGAACTTTCCAAAACTAGAAAAGAAAAACCCCATCTCCCGACATGGAGTAACAAAGGCTTAAAGGCCACTATCCCTGCAGCCCTCCCCCTTCCACCGCCTCTCAGATGGAAAAGTAAAGACCCTGCTCGGCGCGGTGGCTCACGCCTGTAATCCCAGCACTTTGGGAGGCCGAGGCGGGTGGATCACGAGGTCCATAGATCGAGACCATCCTTGTCAACTTGGTGAAACCTGGTCTCTACTAAAAATACAAAACATTAGCTGGGCATGGTGGCGCATGCCTGTAATCCCAGCTACTCAGAAGGTTGAGGCAGGAGAATTGCCTGAACCCAGGCGGGGGAGGTTTCGGTGAGCTGAGATGGCGCCATTACACTCCAGCCTGGGAAAAAAAAGAAAAACTCCCCCCAAAAAAAAAAAAAAAAAAAAAAAAAAAAGTAAAGAGCCCAGGAGTCGCAAAGGCCAAGCACCAGTCACCCCTTCTGCATAGAGCACCCATCTGCTGTGGCCTCGGAACAGTTCATCTCAGATTTTCATTGGCCAAGGACCAAATCTTTCTTCCAGATAAGGAGTAGCCCCATAGGAATTCAACAGAAACTTTAACTCCCAAAACTTTGCACACGGGGCCGTAGAGACGCTCGCTTGGACCCACTCCCACCCAGTGAAGTGCTTTCTTGATTGAACAAATTCCTGCTTTTGCGGCTTTCTTCTTTTGTTACTTTGCGGGTTTTTTCTTTTTTTCAATTCCATGTTCAACAGCCAAGAACGTGAACATCTCACACTCACGGCTGCCTTCCGGTAAAACAGGAAGAAGATGGGGTAAGAGGGCCTCCAGGAAGAGCACATTTTTCAAGGGTTGCAAATGGGGAGCAGCAGGGCCCGGCACGAGGAGGGAGGTTTGAGGGCGATGGTGCCTTAGGACAGGAGTGGGGTCTGCATGTTCCGAGGACCAGGCAGAAAACGAGCCTCCTCGGGACCAGGCTGCAGCGCTGCACTCAAAGGACCCACGAGAGTGAGACTGGGAGGCCCAGCATGGGAATCCAGCTGGCGGGTGAGGACTTGAAACAGCGCGAGGCGAGAGAAGGGGAAAGGAAGGGTTTTCAGCAGGAAAACTCCCCTATAGGAAATGTCTGCACGGTCCCACTGCAGAAAAACCGGTGAGGACCAGCCTCAGGGCGACTCACGCACTCTCACACGGACGCCTCAATTTGCTCTGGGTTAACAGGGGACGGAATTTCCAGGTCTGTGGGGACCCGAAGTCCCCAGCATAAGCGGCACCAGATGCCCGGGAAGTGCAGACA